ATATTTTGATATCTCACAATGTGTCGATTGCGTATCTGGAAATTCTATTTGACCAGCCTTGCTTCTACCAGTCATTTAAGTCAACTCCTATATTTTCCTTCACAGTGAAGGTTAATGCAGATATATTGTAAATTACACAGAGGCAACATTACAATACTTTTCACATTCCCCTGTATTACATAACAATCTTTGAGCTGAGGCAGTTATGGTTCTAGAACCATCACCAGTTCTCTTGTCTATACACTGGTTTAGTGTAATAATGCACTGGGAAATGCAAGATACATTGCCTAAATATATGTGATGACACAAACAACTACAACGCAACTACAATCAGATATGTTTTTAGAATTTAATCGTTATACTACTTAATGATGAAAACAAATACATTCAATACAATTCAAGTGCAATATTTTCTTTCCCTGAGTAAACTTTAATCGGCTTCTTCGTCAATACACTGTCACAGCGTGCTGCTCAATGTCATCTCGGTTACGTTCTTAGGCTAGCACATGGCCTGTACAAACACAGTTGATGTTGTGAACCACCATCCGACATCGTCATATGGTACGGTTACATTTCAGTACGTCGCTTGCACATACATGATGCCGTAAATTTGCTTCACCGTTGACTACACTGGTTATTACGTCATTGTACATGGTCTGCACATACAGCTTTTCGCAGATTGCACTTCGATTTCATAAGATGTCTTGTACCGAGGACAATCTATGTTCATGTAAAGTGTCTCTTCTTCCATTGCCTCGCAACAGTTACAGCTATGCTCTATTCTGTAAGGGTATATAGCAGAAACTCTCGTATACGATGAACACTGACCGTAGCAGGCAAAGACGGCTATTGACGCTGGCTTGCAGCCGCTACGTTGCAGTACATACATAGCCATTCTCCTCGTGCACGATTCGGATATACACAGTACAGGAACGCTAAAGCAAATCACGCAGAGTAGAAAAAATGACACGTTTCCCATGATGATTTTCTGTTGGCAGTATTTCAACTTCAGAGAGTTGATGTTTTATAGACTTGAAAACAGAGACAACAGGTGTGTTTGCGAGTGAGTTCAGTCTTATCAGGTCAACACCTCTCTCTCTCATCTCGCATCCGTTCACTTAAAATAGTAGTGTAGGCTCTTGTGTCAAATTTACATTAAAAAAGTCAAATAAAAAATAATTACAAAAATGCATTTATATATTTTTGCTTGTAATAATTTATCTTAGGACCTGCACAGGATTCGGCCATAGCATTGTCTTATACGATCGTCATTGCATCATGCTTTCCACAACTTTCCCAAGTTTCTACACAATCGTCTTCACCATTGCCAGAACTTTCCGAAAATTATAAAAAGTTAATTTCACATGTGAACATTATAGAGTACAATTACTTTATGACCTATGTTTTTGTGCATCTAAACATTAATGTTTAGTTGGGATAGCATAATTATGAACGCGTTACGTATGTTTGGGTAAGTGTAATCGACAGCTATCTGCGTGTCACGACGTATTTTATGTATTCCCAAGGCATGCGGTCTGAGCCTTTGATTGCGTATATTTTTAGTCAAACTATTTTTTGACAGTCGTCTTACCCACGGAATAGTCGTTTCTAGCTACATAAGCACCGTGGGCGATGTTTGAGTGTGGAAGGTTCAAAACGCGAGTGTCGTGGTATAATAATATTGGTTAATATTAGATAAATTACATTTGTCTACTTGTAGCGTGTCCAACAAATCATGTATGAACAATAATTTTAATAAAATGATTTTACTTAAAAAATACAATATTTTCCTCCATACTATAAAAACGAAAGAATTTCACAAAGGTTTATCAGAGTGTTGTCTGATATAGTGTGGATAAATATACGCATGCCGCGCTTTTGTGGTCTCCGTAATAAGGCGTATTAAAAGCGTCGGCTATGAAATTGACACATCTGTTATATTTCAATAAATGGAAATTGAAAGTTAACAAATATGAATAGTGGTGTTGACGACTATTGGTAATCATTCTAATAATGACGGCTGTGCGTCACAGCCACTTTTACATGATACAAATTGCCCCTTTTATTAATCAGACAAAATACAGATGTATCAGCGTTTGAAAGATCATATGTACATGTAGAACTGCAGACTGGTTTATCGAAACGGGCCATTCTTGCAAATCGGTTTTTGTGCTCGTAGTGCTCTTCGAAGATTTCTCTTGCCAAGCATGTGGGATTGACAACCGACATCTATTGTACATACTTTGCATCCCATGTTGCAGCAACGTTGTAAGCAAGGCTCGGTATTGGTATTGTATATTGGTAGTTCATAGCTCATTTACATAATGTGATTAAGCTGAATATGCTTAACATATATTAAGAAAAAAATACATGTGGAATACACTGACAGCAACAGGTTAAATCTGATTACAAGTTCGGAATTCTAAAAATCAGTCACTCCTTAGTCAGTCATAGAATATTCACGGCTGTGATGAAAAATTTTAAAATAACTTAACGAGCAACAGTTTAGACTTAATATATTTAACTATATCATCACAATTGTGTAGTGTTCAACACCATGGAATAATCTGTGTGTAGACAAATAATGCATGTATATTGCTGAACAAATATATGTCCATGAGATCAAATGTATTTATATTTATTTTCCCAATTTTCCTATTTCTTGAGCTAAAGTACAATCATGGTTTAAAAATGATAAATACCAACCGCTAGTTTTCATGAAAAATTTGTTTCATACACTTCAGTGACAATCTATTCCTTTGTAGAATGAAATTGAACACTAAGTGGACAGCTATAGCTAATTTTAATTGTAATTCAGCGAATTTTCATATAAAAACAGATTTGAATTGTTTCAACATTAACAGCGCCCCCACACTCTTAACTCGCCAACGTCTTTATTTTACACCCCTGAGTCCGACTATTTTATCCTAACTACCACCATTCAATTCACCATTTTCTGACGGTGCAGCATTTTCGTGCTACTGTTAGATTTGATATGTTTTGTATATTATCTTTGGTTTGTTAGCATTGTGTCTTTTCATTTTATTTTTCATTACCAGATTTTGTATTTGATGAAGCTGTGACTTCGGAACAAAACGTCCAACGACAGCAACAACAACACAAATAGTAAAACAACTAGACACAGTGTCTTGATTTTTTAGTTTATCTGTTTATCGCTCTATAGGACACTGGGCAGACCTGTTTACTTTTATTTCACTACTCTACAAATAGTGGTAGACCGAGTTGCCAAAAACAAATGGACTACACTGGTGTTATTCGGCTATATATTTTACGTTTGTGTGAAAGACATATATCATTTTTCTATTCCATGGCGGATTGCAATTTAAATTTGTTGACTTGGGTCAACCCCCACAATATTTTGTGATTCTGAGCTAGAAATAACAATGATAAGGTACGAGTATTTGTAGAATGATACAACTTCTAGTTGCTCACCACAATACACACAAGATTGAACACAAAAATTGTGATTCTGGTCAAATGTTTATTTTCATTAATTTTATACACCAAGTCAACGATCATACAGCAACACGTGCATTGATACATTATGTAGCGTGTCCAAATTTCACACACTGTGTATTTTACAGTTGTTGTGTGCTTCTCTGTGGAGAATATCGAAAAAAAACACGTTATATGAAAAGAAAACAAAGCCATGATAGTGGTAATAATTGGTTGACATGCTTATTTTGGTTGTGTTGGTACGGATTAAAAAAAAAAGTTGTGTGTGTCAATATTCTCACGTTCAGTACAATTGGGTACAATGGGTACAATTGGGTACAATTGTAAACCTCTAATGCCCCTTACTTCGTGCAAAACAGCTCAAAATGTATTTAGTGTCCGTGCTTTTGAGTATTCAAGCCTAGCCATTTTAGTTGGCAAAATTAAATATTACGTTTTACTAGGTATTGTCGATGCTCCAGTGAAAATACTCATTGCAAAAAATTGTTGTTATGAAAATAACAATACTGAAGCTATGAAATACATCATTTGAATACAGAATATTCATATTGATATTGGCACAGATCGTTACTGCGTATGCATTTACAGTGCAAATTGTCATAACCTATCCAATTCAGGTTTACATAACAGCAGAAAATTTCCTTATTGCTCAATGCCAATTTTACCAGTTCAATACTCAACGGGCTTCTCATCCGAGTTATGCCTCAGTTTGAAAATAAAGCTCCCCGAGATGCCAATAAAATCGGTCACCAAAGGGGTCCGGCTCCCCTATCTCCAGCTATATAACGAATCAAGTCAAGTGGAAAAAAGTAGGCCGTCAAAAGATAACCTGAAAAAGTACCATTTAGACGATCAATGCTTCCCACCCGCCTAGCCTAGGACCAAGCCAGCAAGGTGCAAACTATTTTGTTTTTACCAGTGCCACTGAGGTTTCTGATTTGAAGGCCACACTCGGAGTGTGCAATACTCTTATCTTATGACTGGATGGACCCAATTTGTTTGGACCACGGCTCATGAGGAAGCTTAACAAACTCACGACCACAGCAAAACACCGAGCCACTGAAAGTAGACGAAGAGAATTAGTGTATATAATCCTTTTCAATCAACAATCAATTCTAATTGAAATAATTTACATACATCATACATACATCGAATGCGAACGTATTATTAGGTTGAATTTTCTCGTAGCCAATCAAATCGAATGTCATTAACATAGTATCAAGAACAAACAATTATGTATATACATGCTCAAACTTGAATATGTTATTTTCATTTAACACATTGGACTGTGTGCATCACACATTGGAATGACATGTGTATATGAGAGGAAGAGATACGATCACATTGTTATTAGTCAACGTTGATACAAGCACACGCATTATCGACTTCCGATTCGAAAGCAGTATTCTACTAAGCTGCAAGACATAGGCATGCGGTTACGGGTGTAATTTACACACGCTTCAGAAAACCATCAACTTAACATCACTGTCACAGATATATCAACTTGCTTACCCTACCGAAAGATGTTGTTACCGAACACGACTTATAACTACAGTTCTGAGTTCAATGTTACCGAATCAACACCTAAAATAATCTACAAGGTAAATTATGATGTTTCTCTGCGTATTACGTTCGCTATTATTGCAGTGCTCGGTATCATCGGAAACAGTGTTGTCCTCTTTGTGGTTTATCGAGTGAAACAAATGCGCACCATCACAAACTACTTCGTGGCTCACCAAGCTTTTATAGATGGGATTTCGTCCATATTGATCGTATACCACTACCTACTACCCATCGTACCCATTCCCAGCGGAATAGCGGGTCACACCGTGTGTAGATTATGGGCAGCACGCTATCCGTTGTGGTCTTGTCTTCTGGCATCCACCTACAACTTACTGGCACTAACAGTGGAGCGATATATGGCTATCGTGTATCCGTTCCGTTACATCGCTTTCTATACGTCCGGCAAGAGAGCCTGTTTAATATTCGCTTTTATTTGGGTGATGTGTCTGCTGTTTAAATCCATCAACATCCCGAGAATAGAATCTGACGACGGGGAATGCATCAGAGTAATCGTTTACACCGCAATGGAAAATAAAATCATCGCTATTCTGTCTTTCCTTATTGAATACTTCATTCCACTATTTCTCATGTCGTTTGCTTATATGCACATCATCGTGGTTCTCAATTCCAAAATCATCCGCATTGCGCCGGGAATGCCCAATCCCCCTAAAGATGACCATGACTCCATGAATGTGGCGAGACGCAATGTAGTGAAGACGTTACTTCTCGTCGCCATGGCGTTTGCCGTTCTCTGGGCACCCAACCAGATATACTATTTCATTTCAAGTATCAACACGAACATCGTACCAAATAAAGTTTTCCACAATGTAACAGTCATTGTTGCATTTTGTAACTGTTGTGTAAATCCTGTTATTTACGCACTGAAATATAGACAATTTCGCTCGGGCATGAAAACTGCCTTTGGATATCGCGATAGCAGCAATGGGATGGCATTAACACATACTACTTGAGCCGAAGACGAACTCCGGGGGAGGTGTAGACCGACCTTATTGTTATTCAGGTTTTCAATTTAATATTGCAGAATGATGAGAATTTCCGAAGAAACTGTAATGTGCAGTAGCATAACTGTCTCGTGGCACGTAACGATATGTGTACACTCATATATTGAAATGTTTTGCTTTCGTGTTGGTTCTATCGCCACAGGTGATATAACAACAATGTACCTTATAGGAAGTACAATGTCCGAATTTTCACAAAAATAATTATTAATTATTATGCCAGATGGCAAAACGATTTTGATTTTTCACATGAATTTCACAAACAATGTCTTTAATTATCACATGCCGTGCATCAATATAATTTGTATCTGAATCTTTTTTTTGAATATTAGGTATACTCAAATGGTAAACATAATTGACTTTCTCAAACGCCTTGTTTTGGAGTTCACATGTGCCATAAAATAGTTAAACACCATCTTCTAAAATATTATTATTCCTAAAATAAATACATTATATAAATACATTGTTATATGTGTAGTTGATTAGAAGATTTATTGTATACTGTTAATATTTTCACATTATGTAGAAAATATATACATTATATTCTATATATTAAAAGCGAGTGTACATATCTCATTCTGAATTATATTGTATTTTGTTTGTATTTAGATGTTTAGCTTTATCTTTTGTCAATTTTTTGTTAGCTTCGATTCAATATTTAAATAGATGATTGAATGAATGTACAAATACCATAGATGATATTTGTGAAACGTTTTTTGATCGCATCTTAAATATTTGATGTTAGTTTGCGAATAGGTCTGAATGCACTGCTTTGCATGTGAGAATATAATATAGTATTGTTTCAGTATACTCTTACGGCCTTTGTATTATATTTCCATTGTTTAGAAATATAGTGTTTCAGTATATTTGATAAGTAATCTTACTGTCCTAGTTCTAAATTTCTATTGTCTGTGAATATACTAAATTAGTATACCTCACTATTAACCAATCAGATTCGCAAAAGTTTTTACATTCATGTACCAGCCTTTGTGTCCGCGTAGACTGTGTAGTCGGGCACGGCGTTTAGAACGAGTTGCATCTTATTGTTTTATCAATGTAATTGCGTATTGTACATTTGTGTGTGATTGAATTAAACTACTGATGTCACTGATGGTTTTTGTATATTTTGATTTCAAGGATAACCAATGGAATTAAATCTTATGCTCTGAAGTCGAGTTAGTTCTCGGCATCCCGCGGATTTTTACGGGAAAAGCAAACGTGATCAACATGTCCCTGCTGATTAAACGCACGCTAAGTACTGTGCCAATATATTGTCAACCGTTATAGTATTTACGGCTGAACATCACTAAGCACAAGAACCTCAATAAATTGACTACATTATATTATTAGTTACGTACAAAGATACGATGCTAATACAATGCTTTCAACATTTTCGTGTATCAAATATAATTACCCCGTTCATCATAGCGGAAATCACAAACACTGCGTGAACGTTCCCCTCTTATAGCGCAATAGACCGAGTAATGACGTATAACATTATAGGACCGTTTTGGGGGAAAACAATAATGTCAGCATAATTACAGAAGCGCACGCTGTTTCCCTACTTGAAGACGATGATGGGAACACAGTTGGAATTATCAATTCAACAGTGACTGTAGCCGACGCATGATTGTGTGCACGTAAATTCAATCGATATCTAGACAGTGGCGGATTCAGCAAAATGTATTGGGGGAGGGGAAGCTTCGCTTAAGATATACGGAGCGTAAATCGCAGAGAAGCTATGCGTAATCCATATGATATGAATTGTCATGCGTTTGGAATCCGCCATTGTATCTAGACATTAACTAGGGAGCTAAATATTACATGGTCACGGATACAATATGCGAAGATAATTGAAGAGACGTAGCCCCTAAATATGTACACTTTTGAGCTGTTTTACAACAAAATAAATGACAATTTTAGCTGACGTATTTTGCTTATGGCTTATAGTTTTTGAAACGTGTCATGTTTCTTGTAAATTATTTTGGCGATTTCACAATTAAAGTCGATACCAAACTTAAAAGTAAAAATAAAAATTGAAATGCAATTTTTACATTTGTAATTTCACTTACAAATACGAAAAAGCTGTGGGCGCATCACAGAGGTTCAAAGAGTCTTACATTTACTTGGCCCATACTTGCTGAAAGGCAAAATTTAGATTAGTGAGGTTAGAAGTTCTGCTTGTGGTAAATGTGTTTCAACGATTGATATCTGGTAATGAGGTATGTGCATAATTACAAAAGGCGCAAAATGTTTACATACACCTAATCCCGCAACCTGGTAGGCAATTAAAGAGGGACTTTGCAACACCCCCAGACACTTTCCTAGACACAGTAACCATTGTAGACGCAATAAAGTTACATACCCGCTTACGTGACAGATAATCAAAATTAATGGACAAGAGTTTCATTTGGGTTTAACTATAAGCGTTCATTTATGAACAATGTTTTATTCATTTGGTATCGGTGACTTTATTATTCCATGCATTCACATGCTTGTTCATTTAATAAATTATATTTTGAACGAAAATAATAAACCTATTGAAAAACATCATATAATGGAATTACCTGGATTACCTTCCCGAGAACAGTTTTGAATACAGTTTTGAATACAGTTCTGATTTTAAACTCATCGTTGACTATACAATTATTGCTATTATGTCAAAGCGTGTACACGAACACAAGAAATTATTTGCCTCTTGCCTATTAATCAATAATTAACTATTAATCAACGGAAACCAAATGCCACGGTCCATCGTAGCTATACATCAAAGGATCACCGCGTCCGGTATTTTGATATCCGTCAATCAAGCATTCAGGAAAGTTTCTGGGGATGTTACAAAGTCCCTTGGTAATTGCCTAATAGATGCGAGAAGTTAGGTGTATGTCAATATCTCGCGCTCGCTGTAATGAAGTCACATGACCAGATAATTAATGATGTAACACAATTATCATTAATATTACACATTTACTTGCTATATGTTAAACAGAATTTACATTACATTACATGTCGCCGAGACTCGACGTCATCAGTGTTCAGTTCATTGGGGGCAGTAAAGCAGACCGTATGTTCGTTTTTCATGCTAAAAGATTTTTTCACTTGATTTTTGTTGAGACAAGATTCCCTTGCCCTTATTTCAACGTAAAATGCAAAGAAATGTCAAAGATGTAACAGTAAAGAGTGGTTTTATTAAATCCATTTGCTCTTTCAAATTTGTTCTATAGCTAAACGCAATTTCTGTACAAATAGCATTGATTCTGTCATTTTAAATTTTCTCTGGAAAGCCAATAAACACTACATTATTAAATTACTGATTTAGAAAGAGTAATTGTCATTGGCTGTAAGGATTATGGAGCCAATGATGCATGGGTATTGATTACAAAAAGTTGTTATCTAGATGTAATTACGAACTAACAAAAATGAATATTAATTTGTCCCACTTTTCTTGTAATAATTATAATTCGCCATGTAATGTTAAGAAGATGATTACAGAAAAAATATGGAATTATAAGGAAATATTAATCTGTATGCTAGAAATATTGCCTCAATGGTGGGGTTATTTATATAAGTGATTCCCAAGCAAACAATGATTCTTTTTGACATATAAAAGGTTTTTTTTTGTGAAATGTGGCAGCATCGCACATTTTGTGACCCAGTTGGATACTGTATTATAAAAGCAATTCCAAAGCAGTGGAAACAAATGTACCTTTTCCCTGGCGATGGTTAAAAGTAAAACTGACTTTGACTGTGGAGAGAGCAAAACTACTTTTTTTTTTACCATCATTTGATTTAAAAAATGTTGTTCCTACTTTTAAACTTTTAAACTTTGAAGCATTGAATTATGCAAACACTATTGAAAACGAAGATTGGAAACAAATATTGCCGTATAGAGTTTCAATTGAACAACAAATTAGGGTTTTTCAGTTAAAAATTCTTCAGTGTATTCTGACAACTAACACATATTTATTTGAGAAAAAATAATAAATGTGTGTATTGTCATCAAAAGGAAACTTTGGAACACGTTATGTGGGAGTGCAGGGTAACAAAGCATTTTTGGTCAGATTTTCAAAATCAAGTATGGGGAACAACTCTATTTCTTGACATGTCCAACAATAATTTTGGGGCTTTTAAATAAAAAAGATGTTTGAACCATTTGATTCTATGTATTCAAGCCGTTACTTTCTCTTATATAAGAATATATATATATAAGTAATATATAAGTAACTGATAAACAAAATCTACAAAGTCACTGACACCTGGTTCATCTGCATTATTACCCATTAGCCTGGTAATGTAGGGCAATGTCAGTGACTCTTCACACTATCTCCAAGCATTCTCATACAAATACAGTAATAGACCGTTTTCCGTTCACTGCGAGAATCACGCGTTATGCGTGAAATCGAACGTAAAAACAGGACAAACAAAGGTCATAGCGTCGTAGTCGCGTCAAACATCGCGTGGGATTCGACAAACGCGAAAGTATTTCGGGGACATTTCCATGCTTAATAATGTGCTGTCCACATTTGATGATAGGCAATTTCGATTAAGTAAGGGTATTCGGAAGCAATATTCCTCTGTCGAAGATCGGCCGGTCAATGTAAGCTACGAAATAAAGAAATTCTAGTTCAAAATCAAATCGTTCGATTTTTGCGGCTGACGTTCGACGCGCGTCTTTCATGCATCTCGCGAGATCTCGCAATTGTACGGAAAATCACCTATTCAACTAGTTCAGCACAAATGTTGATGACACATGTTTCCATAATGCAGCAATTAGTTAAATATTTATTGAAATTAAAAACAAATACTGTAACACACATAATAACTGTATTTTGTGACAACTACGAGAACAATTGTGTTGTACTCTCCCTCTCTGTATGGTAAATATAGCACCTCTCAGTATTCTTCAAACCAGCATTGTCGCTAAACCAGAAGACCAATCTCCACCAAATTTG